GCTTTGCAGTTGAATGAAATTGCTGGTCGTGTGACCTTGGTGGGCCTACCTCTAAGACCTTCTGTTTTTATCGATAAAATGGGTTAGAGGTGCTGAGAGGACTATAGAAAGAGTCTATATACAGGGCCTAACCCATGGTTGGCATTTGATAAGTTAGTCAAAGCCTTTTGTTTCCTAGCTGGGACATGCAGAGGCTGGTGGCAGAGAATCATGGTTTAGGGTATTGGGTTGGCCTAGAGTTGGCCTGGTATATCCAGAGCACAGGTATTTGAGTTGGGAGCCTAGGATTAGAATCCCTCAGGGTCTCTTTGAAGCCACATGACCTCAGACATTCAGCCTTCCTAAATGTACACCAATAGCACTGTTAGAAAATAAGTGTTATATATTAGTTCATAAAAAAAAAACATACAGGGTCTGGCACATCTATTGCCTGGTAAATAGTGACCATTCTTATAGGATTTATGACTAGGAACCTTCATTCACATGATGGCTACTGAGACAGTATGTAAAGCCAATGCTGACATAGGAGAAGCAGGAAAGAACAGAAACCATCAGTGGGAATACAGCTAGGACTTGAAAAATATTCAGGAGGGAGAGACCTGGGGTGTGGAAARAAGTAAGGTGTCAATTAAGGCTGAGACTGCAGAGCCTAGAAGACCTCTACAATCACGCTGTCTTTCTCATCATATAAATGTAACTGAAAGCTATTTCACTAGACATCTCACAATTGATGCGACTAATAGAAAAAATAATAATGACTACTGGGATGATCATGTATTTCTTGAAACTGAGGAATGCATAAAAGATGCAATGTAAAACAAAGTTGAAGATAGAATTCCTACATTTTCCTCATGGAATATTAAATGCAATAGATCATACAAATTTCATTCTCACTTGCATAGACAATTGACAGAAYAATTTCTTATAAAATATACTTGTGTGTTCTTTTTAAAATAACATGATTACTGACACCCTGTTCATTTTACAGAAAATGAACACTGTCCACTCTGTTCAGTTGGTGAGTAATGCAATGATAATTTTCAGATATTCAAACAACAGGGTTTCAAAATGACTGTCTTTGGCCCCTCAAACCTGTGGCATTTTCTAACTTACTCATTCAGGCAGGCAATGTAACTCACTTTGGATCTTCTATCATTAAAAGGATTTATAAAACCTCAGAATATTATGTGATGCCATTTACCCACTTGAGCAATTAAAGAAATGTGAGAAAGTAAGACAAAAACCCCACATTTCTTAGTTAAGCTTTCCTTATTTAAATTCTGCACACACACACACACACACACACACACAACACATTTGTGTAATGAGAAGATTTCAGCTATGTAAATATGCTCACTTTGCCAGGAGCAGTGGCACATGCCTATATCCCAGCAACTTGGGAGGCTGAGGCAAGAAGACTGCAAATTCACAGACAGCCTCAGCAACTTAGTGAGACCTTAAGCAATTCAGTGAGACCCTGTCTCTACATAAAAAAATATGAAAAAAGAATGGGGATGTGGCTTGGTGGTTAAGCAGCCCCAGATTCAATCCTGGTACTACTACTACTACTACTACTAATAATAATAATATATGTTAAAAATATACATTCACACATATGCATACACTGATTTGTCCACCAAGAAACTCTGCAACCCTAGAAAAATTCTTGGGGCCTTCAGTTTCTCAAGTGTAAACAGGAGGAGTTGTCCTGGTATATCCATAAGATCCCTCCTAGTTGACATCATGTAATTCTAAGGTACAAGCAAGTCCTTCCAGAAAAATGTTTAATTATTGGGGGAAGAAGAAATACAAATTAATCCAACTATGAGGCCTCTGGAATAAAAGCCTAGAGGTGTTAAACTGCAGTTGATATAAAGCAGTCCTATTAAAATGATAATGTATAAGAAAGGGATTAATAGCATTTATCATTTGAGATCGTAGGGGGAAAAGGGAAAACAAATCACAACAACAAAAATAATGATACCAATACAAGACCAAAGATCATTTCATCTGGTTTCTTCAGCAAGAAAAATCCTGAGTCAGAAAAGTAGCAGAACAGGTGAGAACACAATACAAAAGGCAGATTATAACAAAAAGCCATGATATCAATGCTGTGAGAAAGGATGGACAGCAGTTAATTAGAATAACTAGTATTGTTCTACAATCTTAGTATTTATTCACTCAGTCTCCATGAAATCAAGCACTAGCTGTTCACTTCCCTCCATACTCCATAGGAAAGCTTCTTGTCTTTAGAAGCCATCACAGAGAGAGTAGGATTAAAACCAGTGCCCTTAGCAGGTCATGGTGGTGTTCACCTGTAATCCCAGAAACTCAAAAGACTGAGGCAGGAGGATCACAAATTCAAGGCCAGTCTYAAGCAATTTAGTGAGGCCCTAAGCAACTTAGTGAGATCCTGTCTCAAAATTAAAAATAAAAAGGGTTGGGGATGTGGCTCAGTGGTAAAGTTCCCCTGGGTTTAATCCCTTATTTAAAAAAAAAAAAAAAAGAGAGTGCCCTTAATTTATAGTCATATTTRTGAAAGTGTTCACATCATATAACTTTTACATAGTGAGAAAAATACAAATCAGAATTCTCTTTCCTAATATTTGGGACAGGAAAAACAAAGCATGATTTTTAAGTGAAAACTATTTTTTTCTAATTTGAGTTCACAGTATTCTATCATAGACYAACAAATTCAGTACAATTGTTTAGGAACTCTCCCCAGAGCTATTATTTTAAAGAAATTAGAGAACATTTCACTTTTGTATACAGGAAAAAAGAGATTCCATAGACTTCTCTGGGCTATAAAATTTCTTTAAATAACAATAATGTTTTTAAAAAGAAAAAAATATAWCCYGTGTCAATAATATTTAAGGATGAGCAGTTCAATTTGCCAAAGCCCATCTCTGCAACACGTGATGGTTGTTTAGTACATTAACTCAGCAATTGTCACAGAATTTAAACCCCCAAAGTTGTAAACAAAATATAGAGCGCTCTTTTGTTCATGACATGTCATGAACAAATTACCAAAATGTGTTTTCTCCTCAGGTGTCAGTTTTTCCCTCTTTTAGTGACTGATGGCTCCCAGTGTTATTACAGAAACAGATTGATCTTTTTAATGAGCCAGTTTAATAGACTCCAAAATCTCACCGTGGCTGCTCATCCATGTCAGACCATATGCACCAACAAAACATTCAGTAAAACAAAAAAAGCTCTGCTGTCAGACAGCTCCATACTCTATAAAATTTCATATAGTAGAGCTGGATATGCAGATAAACAGCCAGAGAAGAGGAAAATGCAGATGCAAACAAGATGCAGGAAATACATGCAAAAAGAAAATAAGGAAAAAGCCCAGTACTATAGAGGTCCATATTTTCTTGGCTCAGATCAAATTCYCACGAGATACAAATGTATTTACACAACATAGTATCATTATTCTTTCTAAGGAAAATTCTAAGGAAACCTATTTGCCATCTTTCTATTATAACATATACTTCAGGGTTCCTTTTGAAAAGGGATGTTCCATCCAAAGATCAACCATATGAATTCTGACTACAGCAACTGTCTGTGAATAACCAGAGAACAAGACAGAAAACTCCTTTTAAGAGTCTTTAGCCTGACTAAATGAGCATTCTCTCTCTCTCTCTCTCTCTCTCTCTCTCTCTCTCTCTCTCTCTCTCTCTCTCTCTCTCTCTCACACACACACACACACACACACACACACACACACACACACACGGGGGTAGGGGAGAGGAGGAGAGAGTGAGTTAGAGATCAGAACAAGAATGCTGAGTGTCTGTGGAATTTAATATGAAGTTTTGATATCAAGGTTAACTGCTTAGAGCTTACCTCAGGATTGTCCCAGGAAAGTCAAAAGCCATGTTACATTCAAATAAAAATTGCTAGAAAAGAGCCAGTGGGAAAATGGCTGGGAATATAGAAAAAAATGAATGAACTAAAGCTTTTATATTCCATCTTACGGTTACTCAGTAGTTAGGAATTCTAGCTGAGGTCATGCCCACTTTGAATTTTGCTTCAAAGATTATCTTTATGTTTATCCTAACTATCTAAATCTTTTTATTACACCCTCCTCACCCCCAAAATAAATTTTCTTCTTCTCAATTTGCCATTCAGCTTCTCCCTAATTATTTTATCATGTTATCCTAGAAACATGGAGCTAAAATATCAATACCTGCACACAGCACTTATTTCCCACAAGGTTAATGGGCTCAGACTGGACAGGAATAGACACGTAAATCTATTCCTGAGCCACTTCACTTCTTCGTTCTCATCATTGTGTAGACACACCACACAGGTACCCGCATTAAGCAATTCCCTTTAAAAGCAAATGTACCAAATGCTCTTATTCCCTCTTAAATCTGACCAAGAAAATACAATTTTCAAAAAGAATAAAGGAGTACCATGGGCAGGTCATATGAGGAACTGGATCTCCAATATTTCACTCATATTTAACCTTTTGCTTTAGGAATTTTAAACCATGGAGTCCTAGGTCAAGAGGAGAAAAATTCCAGAGACTGTAGCATAAAACTKCTTAGCAGAGAATTATGTAATGACTACACTATAAATGGGTGGCTTTTAATAATATTCTGATTTGCAAAGCAGCTAATATACTTAAGGGTAGCTAAGTCTGTCACAGACAGAGGTCTCTGGGCAGTTCCAAAGATCTTAATCTACTGTGAATCTGGAACATAACTAGGCCAGTGTCAACATCTCATAGGCTGTTGCACCATGTCTGATTAAATGCAGAAAAATAAGAAAAAAAATAGAGAAAAGAAACCCAGTGTATGACAAATCAAGTTGTAGAGTGCAGTTTCATTTTAAGAGTCTCCACGTTTCACATATACTATGTAAAACGCTGCTGAGACTTCGCATTCTTAYATCATTGCTATTCCCCCAGAGATGAAGGCCAAGAAACATGTCCTCGTACCCCAGGTAGGAGGACCAGGCTGTGATGGGCCCAGGGTCCTCCACCCTCTCACCTGTCTGGAGTTCGCCTCTTCCCGTTTTCGTTCACATCGAGAAGCAGCTCTGAGGAGTCAACAGGGGAGGTGGTGCTGGCATCCAGAAGCAGCTGTTCGTGCTGGGCGAGGTACTGGGCAGGGTTCTGTTTGGCCAGCCTTGCGCAGTGGAGGAGCTCGCGCTGCAGCAGGGGCAGGTTGGCCTGCAAGAGTGCCACAGGAGTGAGAAGGTGGACTGCAAGGCTGCTTCCGACCCGTCCATCTAGTCGCCTGCTGCTCAAACTCTGAAGCAGCGCAGGCAACACTATGTTGTCAAATGCATGCCTCAGTTCAATGTCAGGGCCAACTCTAGGACAGGGCCTGGATTTACGTGTCACTTCACCTCCCTCCATTTCCTCATTGACAACACCAGCGGTGCGCTAATGATTTTTAAGGGCCCTTTATGGGGCAATATAAATTTTACAGCATGTGAGATTGCAGCTCCATCCATGAGTAACTTTTGTTTTCTCTAAGAAAGAAAGAGGGTAGTGAAATACAAACATGCTCCGATTAATCTCAAAAACATCTCCTTGACACAT